CCTCAACAAAACAATTTGTTATGAAGGTTCTTGGGTTCTTAGCCAGGGTCTTGAGTCATTTGGGGCAGCCAAAGGGATGCTCTGGACTCTGACAATGAATCAGGCAGGAATCCCGAGGAAACAGGCGGGAATCCCGAGGAAACAGGGGAATCCTGAGGAAACAGGGGAATCCTGAGGAAACGGGCAGGAATCCCGAAGAAGCAGACGGGAATCCTGAGGAAACATGCGGGAATCCCGAGGAAACGGGCAGGAATTCCGAGGAAACAGGCAGGAATTCCGAGGAAACAGGCGGGAATCCCGAGGAAACAGGCAGGAATTCCGAGGAAACGGGCAGGAATCCCGCGGAAACAGGCGGGAATCCCGAGGAAACAGGCGGGAATCCCGAGGAAACGGGCGGGAATCCCACGGAAACGGGCGGGAATCCCGAGGAAACGGGCGGGAATCCTGAGGAAACAGGCGGGAATCCTGAGGAAACATGTGGGAATCCCGCGGAAACAGGCGGGAATCCTGAGGAAACAGGGGAATCCCGAGGAAACGGGCGGGAATCCCGAGGAAACGGGCGGGAATCCTGATAAACGCGGCTCTCCCGGTTTCCCGTTCCCGGCAGATCCGTTCTTCGGGCAGCGCTACGTGCGGGTGCTGGGCCGCAGGAAGCTCTTCCACGCCGTGCCCTACCCCGGCGGGGCCGCCGAGCTCCACTTCTTCGTGGAGGGGCTGCGATTCCCCGATGAGACCTTCTCCGGGCTGGTGTCCATCCACGTCAGCCTCCTGGAGCCGCTGGCCGAGGTCAGGAACGCCCGGGAATTCCAGGAACTCCCGGGAACGGGGAGACAGGAGGCTGCACCCAGCAGATCGGGATGGTGCCAGAGCGGAGAGCGATCCCATGACCTGATCCCAAAAATGGCCTCCGGGGAAGGTGTTTGGGGGCAGTGGTGGGGGAACGTCCCTGATTTCTGCTTGGCTCCCTCAGGGCATCCCCCACTCGCCGATCTTCACCGACACCGTGGTGTTCCGGGTGGCACCGTGGATCATGACGCCCAACACCCTGGCCCCGGTGAACCTCTTGGTGTGCAGGTACAGGTGGTGCTTCCCCAGCGCTGGGGCTGGGCTGGGAACAGGGAATTTCCATCCTTTCCATCCTCTCCTTCCTTTCCTCCAGCATGAAGGACAACTACCTGTTCACCAAGGAGATCCAGAGCCTGGTGGCCAAGGCCGGCTGCAAGCTGAAGGTTTGCTTCGGCTACATCAACCGCGGGGACCGCTGGATGCAGGTAGGGGAGCTCCAAAAACTGGGAAAACCCTTCCCTGCCGGTGCCCCAGGTGGGATTTCCTCCCTTCCTCAGGATGAGATCGAGCTCGGCTACACCCAGGCTCCCCACAAGAGCTTCCCGGTGGTGCTGGACTCCCCTCGGGAGAGAGGGATGGAGCAACTCCCCGTCAAGGAGCTGCTGGTGAGAGAAGCTTCCGAGTCACGCCCAGCCCACCTCCCCATTTCCCAAATCCTCCTTGCCCTCGGCTCCGTGCATGGAATTATTGGTGGGAGATGAGAGCAGAGCAGCTCCGCATGGAGATGCCCTCCCACCCAGCTCCATCCTCACCCCCTCATCCCTCATCCAGCCTCACCCAACCCCAGCCCGCCGGGAGCCCTCAGACCAGGGGGAAAGGAGGAGCTGGCGTCCCCGGGAGTGAAAGGCTCCAGCCGAGCTCTGGGATGGGATTTCTGCCCCTCCAGCATCCCAGGATGGGAGGCTGCTTTCTCCTTTCCTCCTCCTTGCCTGGGAATATCCGGCAGCTTCCAAGCGGGAGAGGGAAGGGAAGCAGCAGAGGATCAGAGCGGGATGCAGCCAGCACCTGGAACATCCCTAAGGGCCCCTTGGCCAAGGAAAAGGGCCGGGGCAAGCCTGAGATGGGGTGTTTTGGGAAAACCCAGCATGGGAAAAAGCTGGATTGGGTGATTCCTTGGAAATTCCCCCATTGGAGAAGGGCAGGACACCCCAGGCAGCCACGGAGTCGCTGTCCTCAGCTCCCAGCCGGGCACTGGAGCAGCGCCAGCCCCGGCAGGAATGGGAGACGAGGACAAATCCCAGCTTTTGTCCCTTTGGGGAAGGCTGGGGGCTTTGGGAGGGCTGAAATCCATCATTTCTCATGCCTGGCGTGGGAACATCCAGTCCCGGATTCATCCAGCGAATCCGCCGGGCGGCTGTGCGGATCTGCCCTCTTTAGGAATTGCTCGGCCGCGTATTTAGGGCAACAATCTCAGCCCTGGGAGCTGCTAACGCATTATCCTCCAATTTCTGCTTTGAAGCCAGTCCTAATCCCCAGCCCGACCTTTCCAATCTCATTTTCCAGCTAGGAATACTTAGCCCGACACCCCGGGCACGGGTCAAGCCCTGAGCCCCTGGAAGCCCATGCCAGGGAAAAAGGAGACGGGAAGGAATTATCCCCTCAAAATCAGTGTGGAACTGATAGGACTTGGATGTGACCCGCAAACCTGGGATGAACCAGAGCCCTGACAGTTGAAACCAGGCGGGCTCCGTGGTTTTATTAAACTGAAATTACTCAGGAGCAGGTGGTTGGTGCTCAGGCCCTCCCTCAGCACCCAGAGAAAAAAGGATCTGATCCCGGCCATCCCCCAGAAATGCACCCCAAAAACGCACGGGGAACCTCAGGAAAAGCTGTGCTCCCTCTTCCCCAGCATCTCCAAGCAGCCTCAGTTTAAAAAGGGAATTTCTGGGTGGAAGCACGCCCAGGTCTCCCTGCTCACTTCCCGACCTGTGTATTTGGGTTGTCCCCATGGAAACCCAGCCCTGATAAGCGACTGGGATTTAACTCAAACCTCTCGGACACCTGATCTCATCCCAGGGGATGCTGTGCGCTCCGGGCCTGCGTCAGCTCCAACCAGAGAGCAGGGAAAGTGGGAATTTGGTCCCATCCCTGCCGGTTTTGCCCTGTTTTTAACGCTTCCTCGGGCTATGGCGCACAGAGCCGAGCGCTAATTACCCCTGCACACACAGCTCCTCCAATCCCAGATATGGTAAATTCTGGAAATCAGGCCTTAAGCAGGATTTAAGTGCCGTGCAGCCCTTGGGATGGCTCTTAGCCCAGGGCAGAGTCACCCTCAGGGGCTGGAGTTCCCAGAGCCAACCAGGAACTTGGCTCAGGGCTGTCTAATTAGCTTAATGTGGACACTTAAACCTTGGCTGGGGAGAGCAGGGGAGATCTGGTCCTGCTTAATGTGGACA